ACTTAATTAGAAATTAATAATAGTAAGAAGTGAAAAGACAGCAGAAAACCAAGCAAAAATCGTAAACTAGAAAATATTAAAATTAAATTAATTTTTAAAAATGAGAAAACAAAACAAAAAAAAAAACTAAAAAAAAAAAGAAAAGAAAAGAAAAAATGCGCTGATTTTTTATGTCGTTATTAGTATTTAAATTTAAATAATTGCATAAAAAAAAACAAAAATCATAAAAAATAAAGAAAAAAGAAACCAAGAAGTATATTAAAAAATAAATTAGAAAAAATTGAAAATTGGTCATTTTGACCTGAATAGTAAATTATAGAAATAATATTAAAAAAGCAAAACAAAAATAACAACAAATTGAAAGGCAAAACAAAAACAAAACGAGAAAAACAATTGTAAAATTTTAATTATTATTCAATAATAAAATATAAAAAAAGAAATGATTCGACAAAATAACAAAAAAAAAAAAAGGATAACCAGTTGGATGATTCGCAAGATTATTTTCTCTATAAAGGAACTAAGGACGAAGACGAGGCGTGTGGATCATCCGATTACTATAACTTTATGGAAAGGTAAAAACTCTAAGGCTAAGCACATGTATTAAGATCTGTGCATTATATGATAAATATCATCGGAACAGTTCAGTGTATATATATTATTTAATTAAACAACATTCAAAACTCATTTGCAAATATGTATGAAAATATAAAAACATTAAATTATTATTATTTTTTTAACTCATACATTCATCTACTTAAAAATACATTGTACAAATAAGTCGTATGTGGTTATGATCAATCATATAGAACTAATCAGCGCAAGTATTGCAATTTATATTCAAAGTGGTAAAATTTCACATCAGCTCGCACTTTTAGAGTCCTGATGTCATATTCTGATTACGATTAATCGAAAAAGTAAATTTTACCCCAACTAAAAATTCTGATGTCTCGCGCGCAGTTTGTCAACAAAAACCAGCTGAACTAAAATTATTAAGTCCTTTCTTTACAAGACCTTCTTATAACAGCTATAACAAAATAATACAATATAAAAGAATATATATCAAGCTAACCTG